CGTCTGAATTTCTGACATGTAATTCCCAGCAGCCTCCGCGCGCGTGACGTAATAGTGGCCAAACAGTCTCTGGACCAAATATCCCGACTCGGCAGTCTCGGTCACATGTTTTTCGAAAAGAAAACTGAATTAACATGGGTTATTGTTGTGCTTTTTGTTGTACGAACGGTGCGGGATCTGGGAGAGTTTTACATGCATTTCCCAAAGACCAAATCATCCGCAAAAAATGGATTTTTTTAGTGAATCGTGTTGGATGGCAACCGACAAAATGGAGCAAGTTGTGTTCTGACCACTTCGCATGTGATGCATACGACGTTGATCCTGCTATCATGAAGTCTGTTGGTGGAGAAGCATTAATAGCACGTCGGAGGCTGAAACCCGGAGCCGTCCCCTCCACATTTCAGCACAAGAAACCACTGAAAGAACGAAAGAGCCGGGCGATGCAGAAACGCCAAAGAATTGAGGTAAACAACTTTTGATTAGATTTCAAAGCGCATGGAGCACAGCAGATAACGCAGATAACGGAATTGCAGTTGTATTGCTTATAGAGGTGGGCACCGTTAGATTCTGTGTCTTTACGATCATAAACAATGTGTTGGATGTGGAGCTAGGATAAGTAATAAGGGCGCTAGGAGTGATTTCGGTGCAGTAATAGGTTAGCATTTTTCGCTCGGGGCTAATTCAGAGGCTCACTCAAAGGTGAGTCCGCCTGGACTTTATTTTTCTAAACCTCTCTAAAAAGGTCAAATTTCACTTGTTTTGCATCAATCTTGATACAGGGTACTTATTATATGTTATAGTTTGGATTCCTACAGCTTTTAGTCTATAGTCTACTCAGAATCAGACATGATAACGAAACTAAGTTGTACTATCGGCGGAAGCAGCTGTGAGCGATAAGCCAAGGTTTGTTTGTTTGGCACATCTGACGTCACGCGACGCCATCTTGCGGAGGAGCGGCTGAGAAAATAAATCGTCGGACTTGGTGTTGGGGGTTGAACAAAATAAATATTGTGCATTGCCAGACGCATATTATCTCCGATTTTAATACTGCAATATCTTAGATAGTGTTGTAGCTATATGATTTCGATTTTACTGGCAATTATAAAAAAACCTTTGCATTTGATCTTTAAGGAGGCTGTTGTTAAATTACAGGCTGTTTTTAATATTATTCAGACTCAGCTCTCTGAACTTAAGCTTCTTTTAAATGTTGAGAAAACCAAGGTAATGCTATTTTCAAAAGCCAAAAAGACACCAGAGACAGCTTTGGATATTGTTACTGCGCAAGGAAAAATACTTGAAGTGGTTGCCTGTTAAATACCTAGGTATCTGGCTTGATGATTGTCTCTCTTTTAAACTTCAGGTCAATAATCTGCTTAAAAAGCTGAGGGTTAGACTAGGTTTCTTTTTCAGAAACAAGTCCTGTTTCTCATTTGAAGCCAGGAAAAGGCTAGTCACTGTGACCTTTTTACCTGTGCCTATGGTGATTTGTTGTATATGAATGCACCTGCCCATTACCTGAACAAGTTAGATGCCGCGTATCACAGCGCATTGAGATTTGTTACTAATTGTAAATCACTTACTCATCACTGTACCCTGTATGCCAGGGCAGGTCTGCCTTCACTAACTGTTCGGAGGCTCAGTCATTGGTACATGTTCATCTATAAAGCCATGTTGGGTAAACTCCCATCTTATCTGCTCTCTGATCACACGGAGAGTTGCAGGTAGCTATTGCCTGAGATCACATGATGTGGTCTTGTTACATGTGCCAAGTGCAAGTACTGACTTAGGTACAAAAGCTTGTATGTGCGCAGCTCCTCTTGCTTGGAAGAGTCTTCAAAAATAATTGAAACTGAGCAATTTGGTTCCACTGCATGTTTTTAAAGCTCGGATAGGTGAAATGCTCTTTTTATACTGTTGGTACTTGTAAATGTCGATAGGTATGTAAATGTAGCCCTGTAAATGATGTATGATGTCCTTTATTGTTTTATGTTGTTTTATGTTTCATGTGTAACCTACTTGCTGCAGGTCTCCCTTGAAAAAGAGATCAATGATCTCAACGGGACCTACCTGGTTAAATAAAGGTTTGAAATTAAATGAAAATGTCGAATTATTCCTTTTTTAATGAATTTATTTAAACTTGGGTCTCATTATTCAATTTTTCAAGGTTAGAATGATCGTTTAAACTAGCCAACAGTTCAACCAGTATATCCTAAAGTTGGCACACCTGAAATGTGCGTACAAAATCTGTTATTTAACAATAAAACTGTGTGAGCAGAACTATGTCAAATAATGTCAAAGTGTAAAACTGTGATAGATGTTTATAATGGCAGGTTTGGGTCATAATTTACTTCTGCCCTTCATTTGTTCTTTAAAAAGTTTGATTTAACATGGATTTAGTTTCAAACCTGTCTGATTTTCTGACTCCTGAAGTCGTCCAATAGTATAAGAATAGTTCCTGAGTCACATAATTATACAGTAAATCACTGTGAATATAACTCCACCTCACACTTTTACCACTGCCATATGTCATTTCAAAGCCAAAAATGCATGAAACTGTGCAAACACAGGGTGGAATTACAGATATGACCCTGCAGCGCTCTTATTCATATTTAATGAGAGAGCAGGGCTCGGGAGGACTTTTATTTTCCGTGGAGGAGGCTGCAAACGAATCAATAAGTCATATAAGGAAGATTTACAGGGATCCACTCAAATGCCCAGGAGGGCTTTGAACCTATTGTTGTGTGTGTGTGTGTGTGTGTGTGTGTGTGTGGTGTGTGTGTGTGTGTGTTGTGTGTGTGTGTGTGTGTGTGTGTGTGTGTGTGTGTGTGTGTGTGTGTGTGTGTGTGTGTGTGTGTGTGTGTGTGTGTGTGTCTGTGTCTGTCTGTCTGTCTGTCTGTCTGTCTGTCTGTCTGTCTGTCTGTCTGTCTGTCTGTGTGTGTGTGTGTCTGTCTGTCTGTCTGTCTGTCTGTCTGTCTGTCTGTCTGTCTGTCTGTCTGTCTGTCTGTCTGTGTCTCTCTGTCTGTCTGTCTGTCTGTCTGTCTGTCTGTCTGTCTGTCTGTCTGTCTGTCTGTCTGTCTGTCTGTCTGTCTGTCTGTCTGTCTGTCTGTCTGTCTGTCTGTCTGTCTGTCTGTCTGTCTGTCTGTCTGTCTGTCTGTCTGTCTGTCTGTTGTGTGTGTCTGTGTGTGTGTCTGTCTGTGTGTCTGTCTGTCTGTCTGTCTGTCTGTCTGTCTGTCTGTCTGTCTGTCTGTCTGTCTGTCTGTCTGTCTGTCTGTCTGTCTGTCTGTCTGTCTGTCTGTCTGTCTGTCTGTCTGTCTGTCTGTCTGTCTGTCCGTCCGTCCGTCCGTCCGTCTGTCTTTATGCCTGTCTTTCTGTCTGTCTTTCTGTCTGTCTGTCTGTCTCTCTGTCTGTCTGTCTGTATGTCTGTCTGTAGGGGAATGTTTTAAGGCGAAAAATGTTCATCACAGGTTAATGAAGTCACAGTTGATGTCTTTGAATGTCTTGTTTTGTCACACCAAAACTCGTTTTTTTAAGAGAAAATGGAAAATCTCAAACTTTGAAGGTCTATAAATGGATTCTGTATCTTACCGTCCTCACACCGGCTGTACCCCTTCATTTCAGAATGATTTAAAAGTTTTATTGATCAAATTTAAGCTCGCCATCAAGATCTATCGCAGAACTTTTATCCAAACACCAGGAACCAGATGGCAACTTTAATGTAGGTCTTCAAGCAAAAGTGATTCAAAATAAGAGTTGAATTTGAAATAACAGGCTTGAAGGAAGCTTGAACTCGACTGAATCTGTGCCATATGTCCAACCTTAAACCTCTTTTTATATGGACCTGCTTTTACGAAATTAGGAATCTCTTTTACAACTACAACCAGGACAGGACAGTAGCAAAAAACGTTGCACACAACAACAATTACCCCAAGCAAACATAGACCTATACTAATATACCCAGTGACAGTGATAGATTCACCATTTTGCTGATAAGAGCTTAAAGGTCAGGCAGACAGACAAATTCACTGAGTTTCAAGTCTTTTTGAAGCTTTCTTTCCCACTTCACTCAGTGCATTAGGAACATACACCTAGACTAAATCATGCATGCGGACAAAGACCTCAACACAACCTGCAAACGAGTGCATCGTCTACATGGGTCTGATGTTGAGCTGTTGTTCTCTGTTACATTATTATTTATAAATGTGCTCAGTTTAAACGTACCACTGCGTCACTTGAGAGCTCAACACATAAATCATCCAGCAGATTAGTTATGTGCATGTTTTAAAAAAGATGATAAAATGCTGGGGATCAGTAATGTACGCTTGGGATCTATCTTAAAACTGCAGAACAGTCGTCTCGTACCTTTATATTTAAACGATAGTATACTAACGTGGTAGAAAGGTCTCTTAATACCTCTGCCAAGGAGGTCAATTTGTTTTGTTTAGCTGTCAGCAGGATTACAAGGAAACTAAAAACCCGATTTTCAGGAAACTTGGTGAAAGGGTGTGATTATGTGCCAACGATGAACTCGTGAAAAGTTGGAGCAGATCCAAATCCTGGAGCTGTAGTCCATAGTATGGAATAAAGCACCCTTTTTACTCAGTTAGTAAAGCATAATTATCTCTTGTAAGATTCAAAGTCTTCATTGTTACACGCGACAAAAGCTAAAGTGTATTTTTGGCAGTGAAAATCTTAGGTGCCAGGCTCCTCCAGCAACGCGATATTAACACATAAAGGAAAAAACAATGAAAAATAGTGCAAGAGAAAATAGAAAAATAAATTGTGCAAGAGAATGTTGGAAGGGACTTATGTGCAAGTTAATGCAGGAATAAGTAACCTAAAAACAGGATGTAAAATGAAATAGTGTACAGTGGATTCAAATGCTGCTTATTGTGAAGATAATTGAATATGTGAGCTGTAAACAGATGTATGCTATAAACATCTGAAGGTGAAAGCATACACAGTATAATCAGAATTAATTTATGCACATTTTAAAGCATTACCTAGTGATTGTCCTGCGATGACCCTGGAGTTCTCCCCGGTTACGGCCGCCCTGGCGTTCCTCTCGCTGACGTACTGGACGAAGGCGTAGCCCTTGTGCACGGAGCAGCCCACGATCTTGCCGTATTTGGCGAAGATGGCCTCGATGTCGCCCTTGGTCACTACGGCCGTGTTCAGGTTGCCGATAAAGCAGCGGGAGTTGAGTGAGCGCGGGTCATTCTTGTTGGTCACGTTGCTGGTCTGGGTCTTCCCAGTCATCCTAGTCCTGCAGCAATGCCTGCTGGGAAACACAGATGCACACTGCTCAGAGGAGGAAGGTTAGACTGTACAGGTTACACACAGAGAGCAGCATGTTAACTCTGGTCAGAGCAGAAAGCATGTGGTAAATCTCGTATTAGGCTTTGTGGAGTTTTCTCTTTCATGTTCTAGGCCTTTGTGCATGTAAATGCTCTGCAAAGGCTGAACGTTCCCTCATAGGGGAATAAGATTGCCATTAAAAATGCACATTTGAGAAGAAAGCACATTGAATAAAAGATATTTTGTATACAGGAAAATAGGAAGAAAACCTGCTGATTATTTAATGGTTACAATTATTGAAAGAAATGTCCATTATTTGCTAACAGCTGATTATTTAATTGACCATCCTACACAATATTCTCCAGCTGTATTCTACATCCTGAGGTGAACAAAGAGGATGAGACAGAAATCTTTCTGCAAGAGGTGAGAAGAAATTTGACAGGGCAGCTGTGATTCAAACGTGTTAATTGATACATCTCATCTAACTGTGTTCCCACGATTTAAAATAGCACATGAGTCCTTTCTCACTGTTTCACCCCTTTTTTCTTAACTCTACCTTTTCCATTTCATGCTACTACCAACAGCTGAAGTTTCTTTCTTTACAGGATTTTACATACCAAAAAAATGTAAGATGATTACAAATTGCACATTGTTAAAAATGAAGCCTGTGATCTTATTTTACAACCTTCTTAATAACCCATTATTCACCATAGCAACATGAAAAACCTTCTTGGCAACCAACCTGATTCTATTATTTTGTATAACAAACACACACAAGGACAGCTTCATTACTGTCACATAGAAACCAGGTCACATAAAATACAAATAAATGACACCTCCTTTGCAGGCTTCACTGTTTGTTCCCATAATGCAACAGTCCTCAGGGGGATCAGGATGTGGCTTCTTGGAGTTCCCCGTTGGTAATGAGTTTTCAGTGTGTTTGTGTATCTTCCCACAATGAGGCTTTTAGATCCAGAATCCACATACTGTACAAACAATCTTATCCCGGGAGAAGCTCTCTTTAGGCTGGAAGAGCAGGAGAAATGGAGAGAAACTCGTAAACGTTGCATTTGCAGACTATTTACAAGCAAAAAAACCTTTATAACAGGAAAGGGAAAACTAAAAGGGCGCCTTTAATGTTCGCCATACTGTCTCAACGGATTGAGTGATGCAGATATTTTTAGTTAATCTGTTTATTATTTATCTCGGATAACTGGTTAATTGTTTTGTCAGTAATATATTCAGTCTTTAATAATGAATAAAGAAAGAAAAAAAAGCAGCAAATACCCGTCATTAAAAAGCTTGATTATATTCACAGTTTATTTGCTTTTGTAAAAAAAAGCACTGGAACAGTAATTTGATGATCTGATTTACTTTTCTATTAGTTTGTAATTAGACTGTTTAATTGACAAATAATATAATATATTTTCTAGCTTCCTCCTATGATCCAAAGCGATGCAGCGCAGGTGAACGGCAGATGTGTGAGTGTGTTTTTATCTGAAAATGTTTTATGGCTCCAGCAAAACCCTGTCAGGTGCCTGAATACAAATGAGTATATGGGAAAGGACGGAAAAGATGTAATGATATGTATGGGTATTTTTCTAAAAATGTATCTCACACATCCTCACACACACACATTTCAGTAACACACTGCAGTCGACACACTTCCTGTCCCAATTTTCCTCATTGTACCTTTTAACTTATTTTCTAACCCACATCATATTTTCTAAATCTCTTTAAATCTCACAAAATGAAGGATAATTTACTTTTGGACCCATAATGTGACAACGCCGCCATTGGGTTTCCTGTAGTTGATTAACTTAATTATCAACAGAGTAGGAGGTCTAAGAAAAAGCCCATCAATCAACCAATCCAATCAAATCCCATTCAGTCCATCTCTACCTTTGAATGAACCCCACAGCTCCTGAGTGACTGATGGATGTGAAGTGTGCACTCAATAGCCACTTTTAAAGCAGAAGCACAAGGGGTGAGGCCATTATAAGGTAGATTAGGGAAGCAAAAGCACATTTTAAAGCAGATTTAATATCAGAAAGTGTGGTTTCACTCATTTAAGCGCATGCTGAGCTAGAAAATAGAGCCAAATGAAAGCATCGGATTTTTGCTCACAAGTTGAAATGTTTGAAAGAACAGCGTTTGGTTAGAAATACTGAGCAGTTAGGAAGAAGTGAATAAAATATGATTAGGCTATTCAAATATTCATATTGAAATAGTTGAAATTAGAGAAATATATATATATAGATATGTAGCGTCTGAGTGTGGGCGTAAAACAAGCAGATAGACGCCCTTATACAATCCTCTATTATATTAAAGGTCCCATGTCATGGCCATTTCTACTGATCATATTTCCATTGTTAAAGTTTTACTCGCTATAGGGTGTACTTTGAGGGTTTTTGACTCTGCAGACCGTTTACATGCATACCAATCTTCATAACACACAAGGGGACGGGTAATAACCGGAAAAGCATGACATGGGACCTTCAACACTATATAAAAAACATTCAGTTAAATACAAATCATGTTAAAGTATTATTTATTTAGAGTTTAAAACTCATAAAAGGGCTGTGTGTCTGTTGTGTGATCAGATTTAAGTACAGACATCAGTCATGTGAAATAAACAAAATTATAGAGGAAGTATTTTTAAGCTACTGCAAACAGCTTAGCTTAGCTTAGCTTAGCATTGAGGCTTGAAGCAGAGGCAAACTGCCAACCTGGTCCCGCAAGTGTCAGAGAGTTTCTTGCAACTTGGTCTCCTCTCAAAGGACACATAGCAACTTTGTGTTTGATTAATAAGCCTTTTCTTGCACCAGCACATCACTCCAGAGCACTTCTTTTAGTGCACTTCTCCGCTCTGGATCCTCACAATGTGCATGTGCATGTGTGCATAACTGTTTATATTTGTATGTATAACAGATGTACATTAAAAAAACAGAGTGGAAGACTCGGGGAATCAATAAAGGTCCATCTTCTTCTTTATCAAAATGAAAGCTCTAAGATGCATTAGAGGATAACTTATAGTCTTAATCAGTCTATATGTCCTGCACGTTGTTGTTTCTTAATCATGTAGTGCCTATTGTATCTATTGTATACCTATTTAGATAGATGACAACATCTAATTCAAGTTTATTTGACAAAAATAACATCGCTCTTTTCACAACATGCCGGTAGATCCAGTTTGCCTGTTTTGTAATGACTTATTAATTATAATGGTTTTTACTGAACAACAACCATTTCATAGCCTGATGGACACTTCCAGACTGTTACCCTCACTGATCTCCTGCAGCTGGTATAACATTCAATCTACAGGCAATCTTTATTTGCATAAGCAGCTTATCGTCTCTATGTCTCCACATGAGTAACCTAACATTAACACTCCAGAGATACTACAGCACTAGTTTGTCAATTACATGTTTTTAATAAAATGACAATAAAGAGTTTTACATTATTCCTCTAGCTCAAAATAGCAAGAAACAAGACTTCAAAGATGATTCTTTTACAATATTCATGAGTATCTAAGATCCTCAAAGTCTTTTAAGAGGAACATGTGGAATAACTGGCACAAGCTGGTGGAAACATCCCAGGCCAGAAAACACACTCACACTGAATTCATATCAGCCTGATAGGCAAGAGAGGAGAGAGTAATTTGGATTCATTCTGGCATGCTTCATGCTCCAGAAATTAATGCTAAATAACATCTTCATGCATCAGTGAAGCAGTGAACGCATCCCCAACTCATAACTGACATGTTTTTCCACGCAAAGACGTGTTGTTGGTCTGGTGAAAGTCTTTCTTATAGCAGCAAAGTGAGTGCTTGATGTTTTTTCTTCGGGGCTTCTACAGCATCCTCCCGTGTTGCGGAGGTTCCAAGCATTTCATGGATCCTCTTTGGTCCTTTCACACCGACTGTCAGGGGCTTCAGAGTCTGAATTCTCTGGAGATAAAGAAGCGAGGAACTGGTGAAAGTAATCATTTTAGCACTTCCTGTCTCCCTGATCTCTCCTCACTGACTCACGCTCCCTCCTGTCAGAGAAGAAAAAGATGAAACCTCCGCCTTCAATCTGACAAATACATATGGGATGTGATGGATGCATTCAGGCCACACTCACTCTCTGCCGCTTGAATGTTGCAATGCAGCATTTCATCTCAACAACGTAGCATCTCACCTCAACTGTCGCCAACAGAGGAAAATAAGTTGTATTTAATCGCGTCACCTTCTGCTATCATACTCGGGAGACAGACGACTCGCAAACTAACTCTCAACTTTTAGTGACTCCCTGGAAAAATGTATGTCTGCATGCAGAGAATGAAATATGGGTCTATAATAAGCCTGTTTTTATTCTTTTTGCCTCGATTTTTTTGAATGACAGCCAAACGTATTATAAGGGAATAAATGTGGACTGAAATCTAATTACATTTTTATACAGTCTACATTTACGAACTACGCTGCAGTGCAGGTGCGGGTTATTTTCCCTCTGTCTACTGTTGTGAGAACACATGCAGCATAAAATGTGAGGATTTATCAAAATGATGCTGTGAATAATATAAAAGCGGAAAATAGTGGTAAAATCACTCAATAACAGATCCGCTGGGAAATGTTATAGAGAGGAAAATAATTGTGGGTGACCTGACTGCTGCAGTTTACCATGTGTCAGAGGTAAAGAAAGAACAAAAGTGGAACTGAAACACAAAGACAAAATAAGATTCGGTGGATGCGCCAGCGCGTCCAGGTGCGCATCATTTACGTAATTGATCATATATTTTCGATTATAAGGAGTAGAAATATGATTCAGATAGCAGCAGTGAAGATAGAGCCTCAGAACCTGAAGTCTTCGAAGTGTGTGTGTGTGTGTGTGTGTGCGTGTGTGTGTGTGAGACTCCTGTCCAATCTCCCAAACTTTCTTTTTATGTGTGCATTGTTAATTGTGCTTGAGCAACATTTTACTTGAACTTTATTTCAATTAAATT